CTCCCGCACACACACACACACACACACACACACACACACACACACACACACACACACACACACACACACACGCACACATGCGTTACACATGAACTCGCACTTAGGTGAATGTGTGTGCGTGTGTGTTAAAGAGTCTGTGTGTGTGTGTGTGTGTGTGTGTGAGAGAGAGAGAGAGAGAGAGAGAGAGAGAGAGAGAGAGAGAGAGAGAGAGAGAGAGAGAGAGAGAGAGAGAGAGAGAGAGAGAGAGAGAGAGAGAGAGAGAGAGAGAGAGAGAGAGAGAGAGAGAGAGAGAGAGAGAGAGAGAGAGAGAGAGAGAGAGAGAGAGAGAGAGAGAGAGAGAGAGAGAGAGAGAGAGAGAGAGAGAGAGAGAGAGAGAGAGAGAGAGAGAGAGAGAGAGTGTGTGTGTGTGTGTGTGCGTGCGTGCGTGCGTGTGTGTGTGTGTGTGTGTGTGTGCTCACGTTTGAAGGGGCCGTCTGCTGCAGACAGCGCCGGTGCTCCAGGTTTCTCTATCCTGTAAATCTCATCCAGAAACTGCAGTTTACAGTCACCAATCACATCACCCGGACCGCTGAAACAACCAATCACAGCACCAGCTTACAGTGATGTCATGCACGCCTGTGATCACATTATGTCACAAATGTCAAATTAAAATAAATAAATTGTAATATCAAAATGAAATACTAAAAATGTATTTATAAAAATGTCAAAGCATCACAAAAAATGTAAATAAAAATAAAACACTTACTAAAGATGAACTAAATTATAAAAATGCTTTTTTGGAATTCTGTGTTTTATCATCAAAAATGGTGGTAATTAATTTACGAACTACTATGTAAAAAATGTATTTAATATTGATAGATGAATATTTAAATGAAACGATTGATGCTTAAATAAAAAATACAATAATCCATTCAAACAAAATATTGCATTTTTATTTTTTTGTCAAACAACTTGCTTCAAAACAGGTTTACTGTATAAATTAAAATATAGATGAAAAAAAAAATCTCTTAATTGTGTGATATTCATTCAAATCTTGATTTAATAAATTGTATTATTATTATTATGATTTCTACCACTACCGCTAATGTAAATGTGCATTTTACAATAGCAATATATTTCCTCAAGTTAAGTGAACTTTTATTTTGGCGGTTAGCTTTACCCCAGCAGAATCTTGACGCGGATCTCTTTGTTGGTGCGTGAGACGGCGTTGAGGGTCGAGATCTCGGCGTCGTACCAGAAGCCTCGCTCCTCGGGATTCTCCAGGTTATAGTTCACCATCACCAGCTCACCCACCTGCAGCTGGTCGAAGCGCAGCAGAGTCCTGGCCCTCGGACGCACGTCACCCGCGCTCATCTCCACCACGCCGTTCTCCGGATAACTGCGGGAAACAGAAGCAAACGCCGTCGGCATCAGACGCAAGAGTAAACCTCAGCAAACCCCGCTGACGCCACCAACAAGAACCGTAATAATGACTGTTTTCACACAGGTTTCCTCAACACTCCCTCTGCCTGCCATTGGTCAGTCAAACAGATAGTCCCGCCCCCAAACTCACTCCATTGGTGGAGTCAGAAGTCGACATGTTCGGGCCGATCAAACAAACTGATCAATGTTCTGAAAGTGTCAAGAAAAATCTACCTATAAATGGCAAATTTAAAGCAGACTTTCTCAAACTACTGTTCATGAGTTGATTAAAAAAAAGCTAATAATTAAAAGAATGTCAAATTAAATTTTAAAAAATTTAAATAATAACAATCAAAATAAACACTTACTTAAAATGTGCGACATTATAAACATTTCGAATTAAAATAAAAAAGTAAATAAAAACAAAATAAAACAATGTATTAACTACAAAAAATTTAATAAAAATAAATTTTGCTAAAATAAAAAAACTTTACATTTATTAATTTTTTTTAAATAATTTCAAAACAAAAACTATACAAATAAAACACTTCCTAAAAATGTATGAAATCATAAAAAGTCAAATAAAAACATCAAAACAAAACAAAGTAAAACACTTAATCAAAACTAATTAAATTATAAAAATATCCAAAATAAATAAATAAAACAAAAAAATTATTTTATCATAAAAATGCGACTAAAAAATTAAAAACAAATCAAAACAAAAAATGTATTCACTTACAAAGAGTCAAATAAAAAAATGGTAAAATTAAAATAATTTTAAAATAAAAACAAGCAAAATACATCGCTTACTAAAAATTAAATATTAAAAAAAGTCAAATTAAAATAATTGTAAAATAGCCACAAATCACAACAAAACACTTACTAAAAATTAAATAAACATTGATAAAAAAAACATCAAATTAAAATCATCTTAAAATAAAAGCAATCAAACTGAAAACTAAAAAGATTAACGGTTGACCTGCGTGTCACACACACACACACACACACTCACGCAGCAGCAGCAGCAGCAGCAGGACTGTGTGTGTGTGTGTGTGTTTGTGTGTGACATGTCAAGCGGCCAATCACAGTCTGCGATTATGACAGTTGCATAACAGATGCACGATCGCGAGCCAAATTACAAGGGGGTAAAAATGACTTCAGAAAGATGGCAGCATCATAGTGTTATTTTTACACAGAGGTAGGTCGGTAGGTTGGTAGGTCTGTTAGCAGCAGCAGCAGCAGGACTGTGTGTGTGTGTGTGTGTTTGTGTGTGACATGTCAAGCGGCCAATCACAGTCTGCGATTATGACAGTTGCATAACAGATGCACGATCGCGAGCCAAATTACAAGGGGGTAAAATGACTTCAGAAAGATGGCAGCATCGTAATATTATTTTTTTACACAGAGATTAGTAGGTGTATTAGTAAAATCTGTTGACTTTAGCTGTCTTTGTTGTATTATGTGCCAGTGGTGACCATTCAAAATCGGGGAAACGGCACTTTTCAATTTTTTTCTCCAAAGTTTGCAGGCCTGTAACTCAAGAAGTATTAAAGATATCTTAATGCCCTTTGAGATACTGCGTCTTAACAAACATCTCTTTTGGCATCTTCATTTTTAAGGCCCTATATGGTTTGCTTCCAGAGATATTGGAATTTCAATATGGCTCCAGGAGTAAATTGTTCAAATGTACACATTGTCAATGGTCAAAAACCAAATGTGGGTCACTTTGCAAAAATATGATACTTCTTTTCTTTTAAAGAGGAAAGTCTGAAGAATAAATAATGTTGAAACTAGAATTGTATCTTGTTTCCTTCTGTCAAAACAACTCCAATGAACATACCCTTGAAGTCTGTGTGCCAATAACTCAAGAAGTATTCATTTTTAAGGCCCTACATCGTTCAGAACCAGAGATATGGGGTAAGTGCTGTTTCCCCATTTTTGAATGCTCACCACTGGCACATAATGCAACAAAGATTGCTGAAGTCAACAGATTTGAATAATAAAGCAACCAATCTCTGTGTAAAAATAATATTACGATGCTGCGATCTTTCTGAAGTCATTTTTAACCTCCTGTAATTTGGCTCTAAATCTCAAGTGAAAATTGCCATTTTGACCCCTTTTTACAAAATAGTGCATTACTCAGTAAATATTAATCTGTGATATTTGCCTGTAACTCAAGAAGTATTAAAGATATCTTAATGCCCTTTGAGATACTGGGTCTCTTTTGGCATCTTCATTTTTAAGGCCCTATATGGTTTGCTTCCAGAGATACTGGAATTTCAATATGGCTCCAGGAGTAAATTGTTAAAATGTACACATTGTCAATGGTCAAAAACCAAATGTGGGTCACTTTGCAAAAATATGATACTTCTTTTCTTTTAAAGAGGAAAGTCTGAAGAATAAATAATGTTGAAACTAGAATTGTATCTTGTTTCCTTCTGTCAAAACAACTCCAATGAACATACCCTTGAAGTCTGTGTGCCAATAACTCAAGAAGTATTCATTTTTAAGGCCCTACATCGTTCAGAACCAGAGATATGGGGTAAGTGCTGTTTCCCCATTTTTGAATGCTCACCACTGGCACATAATGCAACAAAGATTGCTGAAGTCAACAGATTTGAATAATAAAGCAACCAATCTCTGTGTAAAAATAATATTACGATGCTGCGATCTTTCTGAAGTCATTTTTAACCTCCTGTAATTTGGCTCTAAATCTCAAGTGAAAATTGCCATTTTGACCCCTTTTTACAAAATAGTGCATTACTCAGTAAATATTAATCTGTGATATTTAATATTTAGACATAGAGACCATCTGAACACAAACAAACACATATGTGACATCAATTTTGTTTTAAGATTTTTAGCATTAAAACGAAAACTTTTAGCATTAAAACTTACTATAAATATTAAAAACAACAGTTGAGGGGGAGGATGTCAGTTTGCATGTTTTTAGGTTTTTTAAAACATAAAACATAAATAATATAATAATAATGAATAATAACTCATTACATTTATATAGTGCTTTTCTAGGCACTCAGAGTGCTTTGCATTGTGAGCAAATAGAATTTGAACATGTTTTATTTATTTATTTGTGTTAAAAACCAAAGACAAATCGTTAAAAAAAAAAAAAGTTTTAGTTTTTAGCATTTAAACATGTTTTATTTTATCTACTTATATGTTAAAAAATATATAGACTAATAATTGTAAATATTTACATATTAATATAGATATAAAAGAACAATAGCTGTTGGGGGACAGAATAAAATATATGATGTTAGTTTTAACATTTAAATAAAAATAAGCATTATTATCATTTAAACATGCTTATTTAATTATGTTAAAAACCTAAGACAAATAAATGTAAATAATAATCATTTTTTTTTAAATAAAAACAATACTTGTGGGGAACAAAATAAAATAAAATTATGATGTCCATTTACACGTTTTTGGCTTTTAGCATTTAAATATATAATATTATAATATATTTCAATAATATATTCAGTTATTATATTATATATACATTTTTTTAATTATTATGTTTAATTTGATTTATTTCTATGCAAAAAAAAATAAAAATAATACATATTTAAATAATATATTTTATATTATTTCAAATAATATATAATATTAGTACTTTTACATTTAGTCATTTAGCAAATGAGGACAATAGAAGCAATTAAAACTAACAAAAGAGCAATAGAGCAGCGTTAGAGGCCTTTTTTTGCTTTTTGTTAACTGTATAATCCATAAAAAGAAAGCAATATATTAGTAGAATACATTAATAAAGAATATATTAGTATATTTTTTAAAAACCCAACCCAGATTTTAAAAAAAACAACAACAACAAACATGAATCATCAACACAAACCATGTGACCTGAGCACAAGCGCTGTTCTCGGATCAGCATGAGCTCCCAATCAGCATCGGTTTCCCAGCATGCAATGCACTTACCGCATTCAGAACGCATCCCATCATGCACCTCCTCACAGCAATAAAGCCAATCCAGTGCCAAACAGCGCTTTAGAAACCAACATCCAGACAAGCAGGGAAAAACAACGAGCCTTCCTCCCCATGATGCACTTACTCTTCATATTTAATGTGGTAGGAGACGTGCGGCGGATCCGTTTGGGACGTGGACGGTTGGTCCGAGTGAGTGTCCCTGGATGATGAGGATGATGAGGATGAAGGCTCAGACTCCAGCTTGTTGTTAGTGCGTTTGCTGGGTCGGCCGACTCTGCCGTTCTGTCCTTTAGATGCAGGAGAGACCTTCTCAATCACGCCTTCGAACCAGGCGCCGATGCTGACGTCCCTGCAGTCCACTAACTCATTCACCTGAACAACACAGCTACTGTTAGTGCGCTTGACCCTGGAGCACACAACCAGTCTGACAGCTGCATAGACGAGCTGAACATTGATGTATGGTTTGTTAGGATCGGACAATATCTGAAAATCTAGAATCTGAGGGTGCAAAAAAATCTAAATATTGAGAAAATCATCTTTAAAGTTGTCCAAATGAAGTTCTTAGCAATGCATATTACTAATCAAACATTACGTTTTGATATATTTACGGTAGGGATGATGAAAATGATGTTTTTGATTATTAATGTTATTGCCATTATTGTTAATAAATGATAATAAAGGTAATAAATAATGAATGTTAATAAATAGATAAATAAATGGTAAATGGATAATAAAGAGATTATTTATTATTGTTATTATTAATGCATTTAAATATGTTATGGCATGTAGAAATCCAATGTGTTAATTTTAATGTAATTAATACATTTTAAATTAAATTAATAAAAAATAATAATAAATATAAAAATCATAATATAAAAACTAAAATAATATTTTTGATTATTAATTATATTGCCATTAATAATAATAATAATAATTCCAAATGTTAGAATTTCTACCCGACTCATGTAAATATTAAATAATATTACAAACTTATTGCTATGATTAATGCATATAAAATTGTTTTGTAGCACTTTCAATTTAATGTGTAAATTTAGTACAATTACCCTGTTAGATTAAATTAATTAAAAAAACAATGTGATAAATAATAACCAAAATAATTATTTCAAAACAATAATATTAAAACGAAAATAATATTTTTAAATATTGTTATTGTTAAAATAATATTTTAATAATATATAAAATAAAAATATGATGTCCATTTACACGTTTTTGGCTTTTAGCATTTAAATATATAATATTATAATATATTTCAATAATATATTCAGTTATTATATTATATATAAATTTTTTTAATTATTATGTTTAATTTGATTTCTTTTAGCATTTAAATATATAATATTATAATATATTTCAATAATATATTCAGTTATTATATTATATATAAATTTTTTTAATTATTATGTTTAATTTGATTTATTTCTATGCAAAAAAAAATAAAAATAATACATATTTAAATAATATATTTTATATTATTTCAAATAATATATAATATTAGTACTTTTACATTTAGTCATTTAGCAAATGAGGACAATAGAAGCAATTAAAACTAACAAAAGAGCAATAGAGCAGCGTTAGAGGCCTTTTTTTGCTTTTTGTTAACTGTATAATCCATAAAAAGAAAGCAATATATTAGTAGAATACATTAATAAAGAATATATTAGTATATTTTTTAAAAACCCAACCCAGATTTTAAAAAAAACAACAACAACAAACATGAATCATCAACACAAACCATGTGACCTGAGCACAAGCGCTGTTCTCGGATCAGCATGAGCTCCCAATCAGCATCGGTTTCCCAGCATGCAATGCACTTACCGCATTCAGAACGCATCCCATCATGCACCTCCTCACAGCAATAAAGCCAATCCAGTGCCAAACAGCGCTTTAGAAACCAACATCCAGACAAGCAGGGAAAAACAACGAGCCTTCCTCCCCATGATGCACTTACTCTTCATATTTAATGTGGTAGGAGACGTGCGGCGGATCCGTTTGGGACGTGGACGGTTGGTCCGAGTGAGTGTCCCTGGATGATGAGGATGATGAGGATGAAGGCTCAGACTCCAGCTTGTTGTTAGTGCGTTTGCTGGGTCGGCCGACTCTGCCGTTCTGTCCTTTAGATGCAGGAGAGACCTTCTCAATCACGCCTTCGAACCAGGCGCCGATGCTGACGTCCCTGCAGTCCACTAACTCATTCACCTGAACAACACAGCTACTGTTAGTGCGCTTGACCCTGGAGCACACAACCAGTCTGACAGCTGCATAGACGAGCTGAACATTGATGTATGGTTTGTTAGGATCGGACAATATCTGAAAATCTAGAATCTGAGGGTGCAAAAAAATCTAAATATTGAGAAAATCATCTTTAAAGTTGTTCAAATGAAGTTCTTAGCAGTGCATATTACTAATCAAACATTAAGTTTTGATATATTTACGGTAGGGATGATGAAAATGATGTTTTTGATTATTAATGTTATTGCCATTATTGTTAATAAATGATAATAAAGGTAATAAATAATGAATGTTAATAAATAGATAAATAAATGGTAAATGGATAATAAAGAGATTATTTATTATTGTTATTATTAATGCATTTAAATATGTTATGGCATGTAGAAATCCAATGTGTTAATTTTAATGTAATTAATACATTTTAAATTAAATTAATAAAAAATAATAATAAATATAAAAATCATAATATAAAAACTAAAATAATATTTTTGATTATTAATTATATTGCCATTAATAATAATAATAATAATTCCAAATGTTAGAATTTCTACCCGACTCATGTAAATATTAAATAATATTACAAACTTATTGCTATGATTAATGCATATAAAATTGTTTTGTAGCACTTTCAATTTAATGTGTAAATTTAGTACAATTACCCTGTTAGATTAAATTAATTAAAAAAACAATGTGATAAATAATAACCAAAATAATTATTTCAAAACAATAATATTAAAACGAAAATAATATTTTTAAATATTGTTATTGTTAAAATAATATTTTAATAATATAGTATTTTAGAAGTAATATAAAAACAATAATATTTAAAAAATACACACAATAATTCGCCATAAACTGTATAATTTGGCTACAATCTAAGTAACGAGTAAAGAGTCAGTCATGACCGATGCTACAATTATTTCATAGAAGTTTTCCAAGTTCCAAGTTTTTTGGAAACTATAGAGACAGAGCGCACACACACACACACACACACACACACACACACACACACTCACTCACTCACACACACACACACACACACACTCAAAACACACACACACTCAAAACACACACACACTCAAAACACACACACACTCAAAACACACACACACTCAAAACACACACACACTCAAAACACACACACACTCAAAACACACACACACTCAAAACACACACACACTCAAAACACACACACACTCAAAACACACACACACTCAAAACACACACACACTCAAAACACACACACACTCAAAACACACACACACTCAAAACACACACACACTCAAAACACACACACACTCAAAACACACACACACTCAAAACACACACACACTCAAAACACACACACACTCAAAACACACACACACTCAAAACACACACACACTCAAAACACACACACACTCAAAACACACACACACTCAAAACACACACACACTCAAAACACACACACACTCAAAACACACACACACTCAAAACACACACACACTCAAAACACACACACACTCAAAACACACACACACTCAAAACACACACACACTCAAAACACACACACACTCAAAACACACACACACTCAAAACACACACACACTCAAAACACACACACACTCAAAACACACACACACTCAAAACACACACACACTCAAAACACACACACACTCAAAACACACACACACTCAAAACACACACACACTCAAAACACACACACACTCAAAACACACACACACTCAAAACACACACACACTCAAAACACACACACACTCAAAACACACACACACTCAAAACACACACACACTCAAAACACACACACACTCAAAACACACACACACTCAAAACACACACACACTCAAAACACACACACACTCAAAACACACACACACTCAAAACACACACACACTCAAAACACACACACACTCAAAACACACACACACTCAAAACACACACACACTCAAAACACACACACACTCAAAACACACACACACTCAAAACACACACACACTCAAAACACACACACACTCAAAACACACACACACACACACTCAACACACACACACACACACCCACTCACACACTCACACACACACACACACACACACACACTCACTCACTCACACACACACACACTCACTCACACACACACACACACACTATAGAGACAGAGCGCATTTACGCCACGCCCACACTGCAATACAGAGTCAATGGAGATCGTTGGATTGTTTTCAGATTATGACGCGTGTCGCTCGGTCTCTAACAGTCACACAGAGTTAGCATGCAGACAGTATTGTTCTTACTCTGAAGAGTCCGATCCCGGGATCGAGGAGCAGCGTCCGGCTGGATGTGGACGGCTGGCTCTCCGGCGCCGGGCTGCAGGGTTTGGACCCGTTTCCGTTGCTGTTGGCGACGGTTGCCGGGGAAACGACTGTTGTGGTGGGTGTGGCCGAGGCGGGGGCAGATGCTGTGGTGGGCGGGGCTACGGCACAGGCCACGCCCTCATCGCTGTTGGGGGAGGGGCTGTCTGGCGCGTCCGTCTGCGAGCGAATGAGAAGCTGGACGATGTCGTTAAGACCAACGTTATAATCGAAGAGCGTCTGACCATCTTCCATCTACAAAAAAACCATGTCAAATATTAATTATTAGTTATGCAAAATAAACATTATAACATTTCATTATATAAAATGTACAACTATTGTATGCAATTTTATTATATTTATGTATTGATCGTACACTATCAGTCAGGAGTTTGCAATAATTATGATTCTTTAATGCTCATCAAGGCTGCATTTATTTGATCAAAAATACTGTAAAATTGTGAAATATTATTCTAATGTAAATCAGCTGTTTTCTATGTGAATATCTATTAAACTGTAATGTATTTCTGTGATGCGCAGCTGTATTTTCAGCATCATTACTCCAGTCTTCAGTGTCACATGATCTTCAGAAATGATTATGATATGCTGATTTGCTGCTCGAGAAACATTTCCAATTATTAGCACTGAAGACTGGAGTAATGATGCTGAAAATACAGCTGTGCATCACAGAAATAAATTAAAGTTTAATAGATATTCACATAGAAAGCAGCTGATTTACATTAGAATAATATTTCACAATTTTACAGTATTTTTGATCAAATAAATGCAACTTTGGTGAGCAAAATCATAAAAAACTATTTATTATTATTATAATGTGTGTATTTATACACACACACACACTCACAAACTAAAGCACACAAAAAATCCCTGTATTTCAGATTAGTTCTGTGTTTATCTGTCGTGTTTGTGTGTTATCGGGGCAGAGCAACTCTGAGACGATCACAAACAGCAGCCAAGCCATTTTGTGCTGCAGCGGACGCCAGCGCAAATACAGAAATAAAGAAATGTTAGAATAGTGATGACGGCTCTAGTGCAACCGTGTGCACGCATGTGTGTGTGTGTGTGTGTGTGTGTGTGTGTGCGTGTGTGTGTGTGTGTTGCCATAGCAACCAACCAGGATCCATTGCACACACACACACTTGCACGAACACACAATTGTAATTTGCATGGATGTGTGCGGGCGTGAAATATCAGCGGCGGATTGGCCGGTTCGTCTCATTAGCATGAGAATCAGCGGTGTTAGATGTGTTTCCTGTTCTCCCGTCACAGCCAACCCTCACGCTTTATTATGCATGATGGAGAGAAAACGAGAAGGCTGTCGGAGTCCACACCGCTGAGAAAACCCAAAGACCAACGCTTAAGAAAGATCGTGACAGAAGCGTTGCTGTGCTCTTTCGATCGGCTCGACTCGCCAATAAACTCTGAGTGGAGGAGAAACGATGGGATGAAGCGCGTCTGCAGGAGCGACAGAGACTACAGGACCTGCCACAAACATTCATGATGTGTGACCCTGGAGCACAAAACCAGTCATGAGGGTCAATTTTGTGAAATTGAGATTTATGCGTCATCTGAAAGCTGAATAAACGAGCTTAACATTGATGTATGGTTTGTTAGGATAGAACAATATTTGAAAATCTGGAATCTGAGGGTGCAAAAAAATCTAAATATTGAGAAAATCATCTTTAAAGTTGTTCAAATGAAGTTCTTAGCAATGCATATTACTAATCAAACATTAAGTTTTGATATATTTACGGTAGGAAATGTACAAAATATCTTCATGGAACATGATCTTTACTTAATATCCTAATGATTTTTGGCATAAAAGAGAAATGTATAATTGTGACCCATACAATGTATTGTTGGCTATTGCTACAAATATCCCCCAGCGACTCAACACTGCTTCTGTGCTGCAGGGACACATTTATGCGTTTAATTGTGATGAAAATACTGCAAAAACTCTTCGTAGTCCTTAATTAGGCTTCATTTTGTTTAAGCAAAATCAAATTTCTTCTGTTGTTCTCTGTAAACCCAAGACACAGGAGAAAAGCAGTGTTAATCCTAAAAGCTCTGACATTGTCATGAAAATGAAAGACCGTCTCCACCAGTGGACTTCAGCAGAAATTGGGAATGAGAAAGGCCTGATGGGAAATGACTCAGCTGTGGCTCATGTTTGCTTTCCCGTCCAGATTCCAGATCATTCACTCACAACGTTCACAGAACAAAATAATCTGACGCGAAGCAGACAGAAACATCTCCAAACTCACACGCTTCCATTACTCACGTGTGTTTCCCACAAATCACTCGCTCTGACCAATCAGAGTGAGGCAACGGACCAATCAGAGTGAGGCAACAGAATCCAATGACTTTAACGAGCTTCGAGCACTTAAAGCGACAGATGACAAAACTGCAGCATGCTTATTATGAACACAACGTTATCATCCGCTGGTGTGAATGCTAATATATAGGGTTGGGTATCGTTTGGCGTTTTTTTCGATACCGGTGCCAAATCGATACTTTTACAATGGTTCCGGTGCCTAAACCGATACTTATTAAAAAATAAATAAATAAAAATTCCCCCCAAAACATGATGGATTGGCCATTAGAACAGAAATAGAATAGAGAGTGCAAATGTTAGAGGGTCAAGTTTTTAATAAAAAAAAACAAGCAGATAAAATAAGAAGTAGCATTAGAATAGAGAGTGCTAGAGTTAGAGGGTCAAATGAAGATGAAAGAGATGTGTTTTCAGCCGTTTCTTGAAAATATTAAGGACTCAGCTGCTGGGATTGAGCTGGGCAGGTCATTCCACCAGGAGGGAACAGTTAATGTAGAAGTCCATGAAGGTTTTATCATAGGTAGAATGCTAAATGTTTCAATACAAGCATTTCAGTCAAATGTAATTTATGCAATATTTCA